TGTTTGTTTTTTGTGTTGGTTTTTTGTGTGGTTTTTTTTTTTTTTTTTTTTTTTTTTTTTTTTTTTTTTTTTTTTTTTTGCGCAGGACGCGGGTTAGGTATGAGGCGACCCAATTCCTGGCGTGTAGCCCTTTTCAGTAGCTGGTTGTAGCTCTAGATCGAGGGAGTAATGTGATACTGGATGCATACTTAGCGAGGTCGCCCATCCCGGTGTATCACATCTAGGGTGTCTCCCTTGCTCAGACTTTATACATGAAGGGAGTCCTAACTCCAGCAGGAGGAGAGCATGGATCTTTCCCTGCCTTACCGCATGACCTTCCCTGGATCCGAGGTTAAGCCGAGATTTAAATGCGGGGTAGTGCTGATATAAATCTTGTAAGGCCCTAGGTATACTTGCCGGAGGAAAACCAGAGAAAAAGCTTTATGCATCATTCAGGTACAGTTTAATCTTGATCTGGGTGATCTAATATGTTCCTAATTCTCAACAGAATTGCTTGGTGACCTTTTATGTTAAGGGTTGCATGCGTGTAGTAAGCATTCTTTACAAAGAAAATGATGGGTTTTTTTCACAATTGCTTGCAAGCAGCATTTGCAGCAAGCCGCCATGATTCCAGGGGATGCTATTTTTGTCTTGCTAGTGCTCTCACAGCCGGGAGTGACAGCTCTAGAAAATGTGGACTCTGCTATCGAGCTCTGAAAGCTAATAATGCTTCCAGGTGCCATAAATCAAATGTGGTGTGTGTGTGATGGATTTTTTTTTTTCAGCTAACAAGACTTTTTAGATTGGCTTTGTAAAGAGAAGGGAGTGCAGAAGCTGACAGACAAAACCTGCATTTCAAACCTTTTCTGAAGCTTTCTCTTTGACTAAGTTTTCACTTTTCTTATTCCCTCTCTGAAAAATAACCCTACCCATTTTGCTAAGAGGATAGTTCAGTGATACTTTTATGATCTTGTGAACTGAACTCAACTTTTCTTGGGATGTTAGAATCAGTCTATTCATGTTAAGTTCTGAGTCTAGCTTAAAAAAAAACAACTGATGGATGGGATCCATTGCTAAATTGAAGGCCAGCTGTAAATATTGATGTGCTTAAACTCTTGCATCCTTATAACCACAGAGCATCTTTATGATTAACATCTCTCAAATTTTTTATAGCATCCTGTGTTCCAGGGACTAGTTCACCTGAAAGGCTGTGTAAAAGCATGCTAGAGAGTGTAATTGTACTAAATCTCTTAAACCCCAATCAAATAAACATTGGAACCTTTGCTACTGTGTATCTTATTTTAAAGTGTAAATATTTTGAAAATCTTCTTTTAAAAACAACCTTGTATATGTCCGATTCTAAATAATAGTCTCCAATTCTTGACTTGTGTGATTTAGGCAGCTGTCTCTTTGCTAGGTTGTATTCTTTTAAGTATGATCTCCTTAAGTTGAGAGGTAGAAA